TTAGCCGAATTATATACTTTTTTGACGAATGATTGACAAGTGGCATTATGCCGAATAAATCCATTTCGACTAGTGTAAGTGTTTTATGTTCTAGTAATTTGATAGAAGGGCAAAGATATTTAAATACTTTAATAGATTCTATATTCTTAACTTATTTAAATGCCTAATCATTTATTACAGTTATATTTAATATAAGTTGTTCAAAATGTTTTTGTTCAGATTTCGATAATGATTGTTGAATAATCCAATTATATTGATCAGAAATTAAAATTTCAGATTGAGTAGTTGATTGTGTAGTAGAAAAATCCGATAAAAATGAAGCTGTATCACTAACTATTATAAAAAAACTATTATTAATATTACTTAGTTAAAAAAATATATTACTATAATAATAAAATAATCTGATAAAATGGATCATTACGGACATCCAATATTTCTTCAACCTTTTTTCATCTATATTTTGGATTAAAAAATAAACATTCTTTAAGATGATTTTTTACTCATTCTTTTCGATTTTGAAATTTGGCATAATTTATATTCCATAAATTAGATGGTGTTCCTTCTTTGCAAGCCAAACATACATAATAATGATTAACTGAATTGGCTTTTTCAGGTAAAATTCATATAAAATCTGTTAAATAGTGTGTTGGTTAACCATTGGTATGTTTTTTTTAATGTAAATTATTACTTGGCTCCATATTCAATTAGAATCAAAGAAAGTTGCAAAATTATTTCGCTTTATTTACTATATTATTTTCAGATAAAACTATTAATAACCTATTGTCATTAGATTATTTATTTAAATATTAACTAAATATGGTATTAAATAGCATATTAACCATTAGCCAATATCCTTATTGAAAATTCGCTAATGTTAATCGAAGACCTTTTAGCGTTTAGTATATATAATATGCCAACCTTGGCCGCACGAGTAGTGCATAAACACTCCTCTGCGGCCGGAAATAGCAACTAAAACTCTGCAACTTCTTTTAGAAACAATGATTGTCTGGTAAAGGCCCTAGATCATCTTTTATAAATAGGCCCTATCTCAGCTATTCCTGGATTCTCATTCGAATAATATTATCGTACATTTAAAAAATTGACTAAAGATTTTTCCGACACTTCTTTATATTACTAAATACATTATTTAAAGTCGTGACGTTTATAATGACATACGAAACACATGCTGCCAATCCACTCGTACTTTTAGTAGGAAAAACAGGAAAGTAGCTTGTGTATTTAGTATATTTTTTTATTTCATTTACTAATTGAGGAATAACAATTTAGGTGCGGGAAAAAGTACTCTGGGAAACTTACTTCTCGAGAAACCACTTAATGATGGCCCTTTTTATACTTCAGCGAGTATGGTAAGTAGTAATTTATACAAATTAGTAATCTTCATTAGATTATTTTGAAGTTATATCGACACTCAACAAGATATAGATGAAACACTTGAAAAAATTGCAAAATCTATTAATAAATGTGATCAAGGTGTAAAAGCTATTCTTATAGTTTTTGGTATGTTATAGTGATAATAAACCCTAATTAATTACATCCCGAATTTAAATTAATTCATGAATTAAATTCTTAGAAGCGCTTCGGTTTACTAACGAACAGAAAGAAGTTTTGAGCAGAATAAGAGGTTTTCTTGGAAAAGATGCAACGAACCATATTATCGCTGTTTTTTCTCATGCAAACAAAAGGCAGACCGAAAGTAGAGATGAAATGAAGAAGACTTGGAACAATCCCGTTCAATTATTTATTCAAAATGTTGGAAATCGTTGGGGGATCTCTCCAAATCCTGATATTTTTTCGCCTAACGACTCAGTTTATGGTACAAGATTAAAAGAAATCAAAGATTTAATAAATGGAATACAAGGAGTTTACGCAACCGAACAGCTTGAAAAAAATCTGCGTGAACTAGAGGAGGCTCGACGTCGAAAAGAAGAGGAGGAGAGAAGAAAAAGACAGGAATACGAAGAAAGGCTAAAAGAAAATGCAAGAAGAGAAGCTGAGGAAAAACATAGACGAGTGATAGAGTTAATGGAACAGAAACAAAAGGAAATGGAAAGGGAGTGGGAAAGGGAAAGGGAAAGAGAGAGAGAAAGAGAGAGAGAAAGAGAAAAAGAAAGAGAAAGAGAAAAAGAAAGAGAAAAAGAAAGAGAGAGGGAAAGAGAAAAAGAAAGAGAGAGGGAAAGAGAAAGGGAAAGGGAAAGAGAAAGGGGGAGGCAGGGGGGGGGGGGGGGGGGGGGGGGGGAAGGGCGTTAGAAAAGTTAAATTTGAAAAAGAATGATAATGATAATGGCAACCACGCGGTGAAAATAAAAGAATTAGAAGTTTCTGAAAATAATGCAAAACGAGAACATGAGAGGAGGATGCTGGAATTAAAAAATCAAGAAAATCAAGCAAATCAAGCTAAAGCTGTCGGTCAAACACAAGCAAATGTAAAGAAAAACGATTCTGAGCTAGAGGTCGGTTTAGCAGGAGTAGGAGCTACGGCGGGTATCCCTTTTGGGCCAATTGGTATGGCTATAGGTGCTACTTCAGGTGCTGCTGTAGGTGCTGTAGTTAACAAATTAAAGAAATTTTTTGTTTAATTTAAACGTGAGTAAATAAAGAAAAGAAAAATTAAAGAAAGTTAAAAAGAGATGAAGATATTGAGGGAAAAAATAATAGAGGTAGAGAGGTCGAGAAAGAGGGAAAGAGAGAGGAGAAAAAATGAAGGTTATGGGATTATTGATTTCGTGAATAATGCAGTGAAAGCAGTGCTAGTATTGAAAACAGGAGCGAATATGCTATTTCGCATTCTTTAGTGATATCCAAACTTTCTATGATCACGTGATAAAATGTTAAATTTGATTTCGTTTCGTTGACTCTCATGACCTACATACGTACAGTATATTCCTTCAGCATTACATTAATCATTTACACATATTTAACACTTTAATATACTTTCAATACTACAGTATTAGTGTGGAGTATTCAATAATTCACTTCATTAAAGTTTTGCACGATGATTTCGACGATTTCATATCGTTGGAATGATTCATGATTTAACATGTGATACTGTAAAGTCAGCATGACATCAACCATTACATATATTTCAACTCACGTTTATATTTTTCATCGTTAACAAGTGATTCACGATTTAACACGTAATAAAGTCTTCAGCATGATATTAAACATTTATACTTTAGACTTTTCAGTTGACATACAGTATATATATACAGTCTGTAACAAAATTTTTTGGAAATTTTTATTTATTCATTACTCAAAAACTACTGTATAAAAATTAATAAAAAATATATTAAAATAAAATTGAAAATCTAAAGATTTTATTAATATATAATCAATAATTAATTCTTTCACCTTTCTTTTCAATTATCATTTTATATATTTCATTCATTGAATTTATAAAAAATTATTTAAAACCTTATTTGGAATTTTATTCCATTCTTCTATCATAAATTGTTCTAATTTTAAAATATTTTTAAGTAATCTTAATTCTACTTTAATATCCATATTTAACAATTTAATTATCAAAGTTTTTATAGAAAGTCTTGGATTATGGCATAAGTATTAATCAATCATTTTTTATTCATGTGCAGTAATCTTTTAAGGTTAACCTCTACCAGATTTTCTTGAATTATTTTCTTTGGAATTTAATTTTTTAAGATTGTAATAAATAGTTGACATGGTTATGCCAGTTCTAGAATATAGTTCATTTGCAGAAGTAATTCCATTCTCTCACAAATGTAATATAGTTTGATGTTATGTATGTTTTTCAGAAAATAATATTGTAAGGATAAGTTTATAAAAAAAATAAAACAAGTTGAAAAATTTAATAGTATATATATATTTGTTAAGATATGTTATTTACATGTTTAAAATTTCATATCAATTGCTTTTATTTTGAAAAAGTTATTTATATTTATGTCACATAAATAAAATTTCAAAAAGTTTTGTTATACACTGTATATACTCTTATGACTTATAAAATTTAATAAACAAAAATCTTAATTTTAAATATAATGTCAGAAAGAAACTTAGAAGATAAAAAAATAATTATTGAATAATTGATAAATCATATTTGAAAGTGACCAAGGGAAAGATCTTATCAATTGCTTTTGACAATTTAAAATAACAGGTGACTATCACTTTAAATAATTATAATATAACTATCACAAATCTTGATGTACTGTCTGTAGTGCTTATAAATACTGCAAATTTTAATGAAGTTAGAAAGGTACTTCTTGGATCAAATAAAAATGAGCCTATTTTTATTAGAAATGTTTCAGAGGATGAAAGTGCTCAAGAAGAAACTGCTAAACTAATTAAGCTATCAAATGGGATACAAATTTCTGAACTTGATATAGCATAAATAATTATCTTGCCATATGCTAAAGAAAAAACTTTAAAACCTATTTCACAATTAATATTGCCAATTCAAATTTTAGAATCTGATTGTTCGTCCACACTCCCAACTCATACACTGATATTAGAATCAGATGTAGAAAAATTACCTATGCTATCAACACTGCCAAATCAAATAAGGACATTAATATCTAGTATTATATTATTATCCATTTCGCAGTCTCAAGAAATAATTCCTAAACTGCTTAGAACATTGAAAGAAAAACATCTTTAGAATTTAGTACTCTGCCCACTCCTATCTCAATGCAAACTAGAGAAAAATCATTAGAAAAAAGAAGAATCACAATACAAATTGAAGAAACAATATTATAATCTAGTGCTAAATAAGTAGGAAAAGAAAAACAAACATGGAAAGCATATCAACAGATATAGCAAAAAAGAGAAGTTTTTCTCTTCCCTAGATATTAATTATATTATTTGATCACCTTCTTAAAATCAAAATAATGTTTGACTTTGAATGGAAACTGAATATAAAGAAGTTATAAAATATATTACCAATGTATCAAATGAAGAATTTGAAGAATGTCTTGAACTTAAAATTAAAATTCACAATATCAAACACAGAACTTATCACTTGTAATAATTTTTATAATCTGTCTATATGCAAAAATTTTTATTGAAGTCTTTAGAATTTGATATATAATAAAAGTTATTCTTAAATAATAAAAAGATCTAAAATTTACAATCTGTTATAAAAGTTTTTAGACTTATTTTAGCTTATAATTTGATAACTAGTTAATAATATAATATGATATGCAATGTTGGCAATAAAAATTGACAATTATTTTTATTTATAAAAAATTAAATTAAAAATATTTTTTTTTGTTTTGTTTTTTTTTTTATAGATAAACATTATCACTTTATTAATCGTAAAATTGTTTGAAATTTATATATGGAGAAAGTAACAACATCTCTTATATAACTAACTAGTTAATAAGTCTAATGCTAGCTTGCCTATGTGAACTATCTTAATGGTGTTACACTTGATCTTCGCCCAAGATCATCACTACCCCTTGTCTGATTTCCACTAGCATTTACCCTTGAAATGTTGCCCATTCTAGAATAATTCTTGTATTACTATCTTTGTTATTGTTTA